AAGGAGCCCAAGCGATGTTCGCCGCCGGAGACGGGGGAGGTGGCGCGGACGAGCGGAGATCTCCGGTGGCAAATGCGCGCGAGCCTCCGAGAGGAATCACATCGGCATTCGCAGCCTCTCTCTTGCCTCCGCGTCTTCTTTTTTGCTATCTCGGTTGGATTGGGGGAGAGGGGGAGAGGCGGAGAGGACGAGCAGACCGCAACGGCGCGGGACCTGAAGGCCGAATGGTACCGGACATAATTGGCGGCGTTATGTAGATGAACTAATTAAATGCTACGGACGAGATTTACTACTAGCCTCACACTCACATGCCTGGGTACACAGATCCCCGTCAATCTCTCATAGGGACGACGGATCCCACCTCTGTATGGTGCTACAGTAGCGATGACACGTGGGGTCAGAACCGCATCAGTAACGACAGTGTCCGGCGCGTGGTACTGCGGGGGTCCCAATCTGGTTTAGGCTGGTTGTAATGGGAGTATCATTGATAGTATTATACATGTCAGGCATTTTTTATGAGGTGGCATGGAATTAAATGAAGAAAGAGAGCCTTGACCGTATCATATTAAATGATGTGCTATTTTGTGTCATGTGCTATTCGTATCTACTACATCTGTAATGTATAGTATCATATATTGATATCATATAGGGCTACATTTATCTTGAAATGCTAGTTTTTTTATTTTATAAGTCTCAATTTGATTATTTCTATCACATGCTCAGATTTTAAGGTGCATTAATCCATTGCATTAAAGGATTAAGAAAAAATTGCATGTACTTCATTCATGCATGTATTACAATTAATGCACTGATAAACACAATTCTTTGAGGAAAACGAGCGCATTAATTGAATGCTTTTACAAACTATAAAAATTATTTCACCACTCATCATCTGTCTTGGTTGGTGAGAATTTTAAATTGAGCCCTATAAACCGAAAAGGAGGTAGTATACCATTAATAATGGAGAATTGGTACCTCGTTGTTTCACACACGCTAATTAATGCGAAAACAATTTAGAAACAGAGGGTCGAATGGATTTAGAACCTAAGCCATTACTATACTCCCTCCTCTGTTTTTAAATATAAGTTTCTTTTAGAGATTTCAATGCGGACTAACATACGAATGTATCTAGGTGTATTTTAGGGTGTAGATTCACTCATTTTCCCCGTATCAATATCTCTAAAAGGATATGTTCAGGAACGGAGGGAGTAACTATTTATTAGTTTAATTACGTGTGTGATTAATTAGCATGTTGATTTTTTTAGGATGCTTGTGATGTTAGGGCATCTCAAATAGTGGACCTCTAAAATGGACAGAGTATTTGTCTGTGGATCAGTCCGGATTAGTGCTTAGATACAGATTTGGAAGCCGGTCATCCAACCGTATCCTCCAAATGTCCACCTCTATTAACAAAGAACGAAGGGCTCACAAACTATTGTTTGACGGATCGAGCCTTCCATTTTTTGGTTGATGTGTTAGCAAACGATATATCCTTATTTACGCATGAAATAAAACCATCATGATGACAATTTCCTAAAAAAAATCATGGAGTTAAAGAAAAGGAAAAGTTGTAACTGCACTGCCATGTAGCTATACCTTTTATCTAGGTCATCCACTTTTCCATCAACATTCACACGTACAAACTTTTTTTGAAAACATTTAAACCTGAAACTTTGCAGGTCAACATCAGGACTAGCGTGTGTAGATTTCTTTTTGTCTTTTTACGTAAGGAAATATAAAAATGATAAAAAAAACTCATTCAAAAAATTTAATTTGAAAATTTTATTTTGTATTAAAAAATCAGAAACGTTTTAATCCTAGAGTGGTACTACACATTTTGTCACCCTTGTATTTTGAGTGATATGCATTAATATTTTGCTAGTCAAATATATGGCCAAAGTTTGACCCAAAATACGATGAAGACTAATAAACCCAGATGGAGGTAGTACTTGTATGGCGTTGACCTAAAAAAGTCAAGGTCAAAGTCAAATGTTCTCTTGTTTGAAAAAAACAAAAAAGAGAAATTACTATGTAAAGACAACATAGATCTTGAAGGAAGACAGAATGCCCTATATAGAATGTGTAGCTACATAGGGGTGTATAACATCCATACAAGAAGAGAAATTTATTTCCATTAATATATGCCATGCCTGAACCACGATCATGCATTAATTAGCAACTTTAATTTCTTTATATAAATCAACATATGCTAACGGGTTGACCCAACAATTTTGATACCCATTACAATAGCATGATCTAGACATGACCCGACGACCATGAAGCATGGAGCGTAGGCACCATGGTGCCCCAATACATATGTCCCATTGCTAGCTTCTATGTCATCAATTTATGCCTGAAATAAAATTAATTACATAATTAAGCACAAAAGAAGACATCATTTGGTGATAACAACTATGCGAACATATAATCAATATGACCATAAAAAAGTAAAATTCCGTCATCATAGAGAAAAAACTATGTACTGATATTCTCCAGATCAATTTTGTCTATCTTTTTACACTATTCTTTCACAAGCTTAAATAGGATTAATTTGGTTGTGTAGAATACAAAAGCAGAATAAATGAAAAAATTGGGATAGACAAAATTAATCCAAATTGAAAATCATTGCACGGTGTAGTAGTACATCTACATCCTATTGTAAATCCAAATTGGGATTTCAGCTCGGATCCTTCCTTTCACCTACATGGGTCTCATCTTCCTCTCTTTTTGCGCACACTATTATATGGCTCTCCTCCTCAAAATTAATAAGCTCAAAATAATGACATGATGCAGAGAATTGAGAGAATAATTGCCGGTTGCTCCACTCTTCTTTCATATGATGGAAGACTACAAAAGTCTGTCTTTTCTTCCCTTCCTACTTTATTTCATTTGCTTCTTTGCTCTACCCGTGGTTGCAATGGACCAGGTCAACAAATACCCAATGCTATGTTCGGATGTTGATATTCAAGGCCTTGTAATTGAATTGGCCCCAATATCAAATCTCCCTGACTTTGATATTGACATTGCACCCAAATTCTGGTGTTTGGATGTTCACAGAATTGACATCTGGAATTTGCATGAGAGGCTCAATTGCAAAGCTTGTTTGGATGGCCAGTGTGTACATTGGAATTGGTCATTTGTCATAGGATGAATATTGTACTTCAATGTAATTTTTTAATTAAATCATATGCATTATGTGACTATATTTTGAATGTTTACATTTCAAGAATACAACCACATCACTCATACAATGGCGGCACTTGCAAAAAAAGCAGCACTTGCACAAAAAAGGGCATCACTACTTATACAACAACTTTTTCTTCCACGGCCAAATACAACTATCCTGAGCTGCTCTTTGTGAGATAAGGTATGCCATCCCGAGAACTACACAATAATTAAGTAATAATGCATCAAATTGTACAACATATATCAATCAATCAAGAAAATGGATGTTCAGTCAAGCATCGAAAGGACCGAA